TGGCGGGTCCGGGCTGGGGATTCGAACCCGCCACCTTAGGTGTACGTGGCTGGCGCCTTAGCCGGTTGAGCTATAGGCGCCGAGCCTAAGTCAAAGTTCTGAATAAGCCTCTGCTATATTCTTTGGGAGGATTAAATTAACACTGTGCTTGACACCTGGTACACGCTCAGAAAAACAAAAAAAGAGGCAGATGTTATTGGGCCTTCTATCTATCTTTTCACTAGGCCAGTAGTTTCAGCCATATCACACACTTGACTCATGTTTCAGCCATATCACACACTTGACTCATGTTTCAGCCATATCACACACTTGACTCATGAGGGCCTTATACCATATTGGTGCCTACCTTGGGTCTCCAAGACTTGGCTTTAGTTGGTTTAGGGTAGAATGTAGGCACTGGCATTTTAAAAAGCTCCTCAGCAGATTTTAGCATGTAGCCAGGATGAGATGATGTTCTGGGTTCTAGTGAGCGGTACTAACGACTCCCATGTCCTACCTGCTCAACATTGTCTGTCTAAACACACACAGCACCTGCCATCACACAGCTACCGCCATGTCACAGCCGCAGCCCCATATCAACTGCCCCCATCCTCTGACGCAGAAGGTAACTCAGCCTATCTGGAGATGGAGTTGTCACACATTTTGTGATTTATAACCTATCTCTTCCCACTTTCTCTAAAACTGAAATATACACACTCACATCTGTATTCATTCTCTCATCTTGTCTTTTGAGCTCTTGAAACTGCTACATACCATAAAGGATTTAAATTGTTTTCAAAAAGTGCTCAAAGGATGTAATAAAAATCCTTAAAATTGACCAAGATACCTTGAGGATTGGCTAATCCCAAACTAGAGATGGTGGCTGAAAAAACAGACTTGAAAGTGTTATTTCTTGAATAATAAATAAAAACCTATAGTTTTTTTTAATGATAAAATTTAAGAATGACTTTGAAAATGTGTTGTTTTAAAAAAAAATAGACAAACCACTATTTTTGGTGGATCTGAATGTGAACCAACACTTATTATCTGAAGTCAATATGAAAAATAAAGGAAGCTAAAAAAAAGAAAAAAGTACATAAGAATTTACAGTATGATAGATCACTGGCTTTAAAAAAAGTTATGGCCTGATTTTATACTTAAGCTTGTGATTATAAGGTAAGTAACTGACCCTTTTACATAAGCGGTGCCCAACCTGAGGCTAGCAGGCTACATACAGATTTTTTGAGGGCTGTTTTACTTATCTATAGTGTCAGATATTTTGAAAAGTATACACAGACCTTTTTATTTTGCTCATCAGCTTGTGTTAGTGTTTATGCATTTAATCTGTGGCCCACCACAACTCTGATTTTTCCAATGTGTGGCAGAAAAGAAAAAAGGCTGGACACCTCCGCTTTACACTTTCATTCACACTCTTTAATACAGACAAGTGACTGATCTTGGCATACCCAGTGAAAGAAAAGGGCACAGTGATATGGACAGGATAAATTCTAAACTATTTATAATAGTAGGCAAAAATATTTTGGCTTATGTAAACCAAAGACCAATAAACACATTGTACAACTTCATCTATGTAAACCAATGAAAATTAAGGCAGCAGTTCAGGTTCAAAACTACAGACAACCGACACTTCTTGCCTGGAATTTCAGAGCAAAATTTGATTTGTCCCAGATAAAGTCAATGCTCACGTTTCAACTAGTTTTTAATTAAATTCTTAAAACAAGATGATTTAACTTAATAGTCAGGAGTTATACTACATGCCACTAATCAAACTGGTTCTGAAATTTCCCCATCACAACAATAATGAATAATAACCACGAGCCTTTTAAATGGATTTTTCAAAGAGAAAGTAAGCAGAAGGGCTACTCTCCCACTGTCCTCACCTGTTGCAGAATTGCTCCCAGGGAGTTCTTGTCTTTTTGACTGACTCCATCTTTCTGGAGTCGAGCAAGCAGCTCAGGTTTCTTGTACGCCTTCAGGGCCAGTAAATGAATCACTCTGTCCCTGTAGGGTCGCTGAGAGACACTGTTGCCGCCGTGTGTCTTTCGGATTGTGTTGGCAGGGTTCATGGGGGTTGACCTTTTCCTCTCAGGTACTGCATCTGAGACAGCTTGAGGTGCTTTCCGAATCTGCACTCTTTTCCCTAAAGTCCAGTGGAAAGGACATTGTTACATGTTTGCAAGTTAGAATACAGGGAGCATCTCAGTTTCCAGAGCTAGGATTCAGATACCTCTTCATCTCTGGAGGGAATAATGGGCACTTTGTTGCAATTTTTACTTTAAAGAGATGTGCAAACAGAAACCATTTTAAATAAACGGCTTAAAATATTAATTAGGAAATTTTTTAATCAAATGTTTTGTGGAATAAATACTGTACATGCCATTCCTGAAAGCGGTGGGAACACAGTGAACACAGATGTGAGAAACACCTGTCAGGTTCACTGAGAAGACAACCGCGGCTGAGCTGAGGCGTCATCTTAATCATTTTAACCATGCACTAATTCATCCACTCATGAGAATCTTTTTCTACAGGTCATGACAAATCTTGAGAGTCAAAAAATAAAACGAACCAACCAAGCCTCTCAGAGAGCCTAACAAACAGATCTCCCCGCAGGGGAGACTATACAAGGAAGTAGGTTAGATGAAGAACCAGGAACGGTGCGGAGGAGGTCCTCACACCGTGCTGGAGAGCCTGGCCGTTCGTGCAGTCAGCCCATTGCCTGTTCAGGCTAAACACTGACACCTGGCAAGTGGCTCCTTCTAGGCCACGTCTCTATGGGCAGAAGTGACCTGGACACTGGTGTGCAGGTGAGGCTATCTTGGCTGCTGGTCACTGATGACCTCAGGAACCATTCCTTGATAAGGAACATGAAATAGCTCAAAACTATGTAAAACCCTACTTTCTTAGGGTACAAATTTTTAGGTTACATTGTTCTCACTTCCAGGGAGCCCTAACCCAGGGGGTATGTCACACCGCCTCACTGTGTGCACAGTAGGTGAGATTCCGCCTCCTGCCCTCCCTCCTTCTGCCAATCGCCATCCTCCCCTTCACCTTCCCTCTACCCCCACACTAGATTATATTTGTGTTTTATTGTTCATATAAGCATGTAATTGTTTATATATTGGTTACATATTAGTATGGAATACACTGGATATTTATTTTTCCATTCTTGTGATACTTTACTAAGAAGAATGTATTTCAACTCCATCCAGGAAAATGTAAAAGATGTAAAGTCTCAACTTTTTTAAATGGCTGAATAATATTCCATGGTATACATATACCACAGTAAAACCCTCATTTTGTGATTTCTGAGGTGGAGGCTTTAACTTAGTACACAGTAAGCCCTGATTCTATGTGCTCTGGTGAAAGGTGAAGATCTGGTCATGATACACACTATGGGGCAACTACATTAGGAACAAGACCAGCTACTAGGAACAATGGATACGTAAAAGCAGCTTCTACAAGCTATAGTCTGGGGTGAAAACAGCTTACCAGGGCAAGAGCTTTACTGAATAATAATTCTGTCCAGGCTGGGCTCCCCAGGCTTTGTCAGAGAGCCTATCTATTCTGACTGCATCCAATCTCTAGGAAGGGAAGAAGGCTGAACGCTCTCAGGAAACCTCTAATCAATCACAAATATCAAATCAAACTACTGCATAACAAAGAAAGTCAACATTAAGAGGGCACTGCCTACTGATCAGAAAAACTATTAAATTATGATTAGAGTTTTAGAGACAGATTTAAACCTAGTTTCTACATTTTTCTTAATTTAGATTCAGCTGGATCAATGTCAGACAGGAAAGAAACATTTAACTATGCACCACACACTGTGCTGAGAGTTTCATAGATGCCACATGCTGTCTCACTGAGTCTTATAGTAACCTGAAAAGGTAGACTCTGACCCCATTTCACAGATGAGAAAACTGAGGGCTTTAATGGGATATGCTCAAATGCATTAGTGCTCACTTCGCCTTTGGGAGGTTCTGTGATTTGATTAACACCCAGCTTTCCCTATTTATACTTATTTGCAACAAAGGCTTTATAAACAAATGTCTACTGTTTGCTTCACATTAGGCTGTAAGCTCCCTGAGGGCAGGGTTGTGGCTGCACAGTGCACCAGCTGACCCTGAATCACTACTTGATGACTAAGTGAATGACAGCAAGAGAGGAAGGAAGCAGAGAAGCAGAAGCCGACGTGATCCACATTTTCCCACATTTCTAGGCTGCAAGAGCATGAACACGCACTGAAATTCCTACTGTGGCGAATACTAACTTTCCGGTCCACCACTGTTCAGTTGCAATAGCACAATACTACATATTATCATTCCTTGACATTTTCATAGGAATTTGTTAAAAGAAAAATTAGGATCAAGGTCACGAAGGCTCAGAAAATGGTATAAATTCCACATTCCCCTCTCTTTTGTCTTAAAAAAGAAACCCATTTACCTCACTTTTTTCCTAATCAAGCTAACTGTGGAGCCCTTCCCCCTTAATCTCTCTACCCTCACCCTTCTCAAGGGGCCTGGGCACAGAATGCCTTTTACCTAAACTCATACTCTAGGACTGGTAATTTAGAATGAATTCAAGCCAGCAAGGCAAAAAAATTAAAACAGGAGGGTGGCACCTGTGGCTCAAAGGAGTAGAGTGCTAGCCTCATATGCTGGAGGTGGCGGGTTTGAATCCAGCCCTGGCCAAAAAACCCCCAAAAAACAAAAAACCCAAAAACCTGCAAAAAAATATAATAAAAAAATAAAAACAGGAGTAACAGTATTGCCACCATGTTCTAGGTGCCTTACCTTCTCTGTACCTTTGATCCACCTCTGATCATGTCTCAGGAGGTCTCCAGGTCTCAAAGTCTACTGGGCTTACCCCATCCCTCCCAGAAGCAAGCACAGAGCAGGCAAACGAGAGAAACTAACTTTGCCCTTAAGAGGGTGTGAGTATGAGGTCTGACAAGAAATGAGGAGTCCCAGCAGGCAGAGGACAGTGTTGGAGCCTCACCTGAGGCCTCATGCTAGGTCACCATGTCCCCATGCATCCCCCACCCCCAATACACTCACATCACCCTTTGCCTCATTTTCTTTTAGATACCCCAGTCAGAGGATCACTTGCTTCAGTCCAGTGTTTCAAAGAACAGCTCAGTCACATGGGCCACTGAATTATACCCCAAACATCCCTTGCTCACTACTTCCCCATCCCTTTTGTTCCTATTCAACAAGGAGTCCTCTGCTTTAAGAGAGGCTTTAGATGAAGAGAACACCGGTGATATAATATCTGTAGAAATGAGATGCTAAGGAAAGAAACAAAAATAAAGCAAAAAAATGTCAGGTTCAAAGTGGGTAGAAGAAAGGCTTGTTTTTATTTTTTATATTTGCTTCAGAAAAGCCCTTTTAATAAAGCCTCTGGGAGAACCTAATTTTCTTCCCAGACCCAACTGCTAATCAATTCCCTCGGCTCTTTAAATAAACAGCGGCAGTGGGTCAGGCAGGGCTGGGTAATCTGGGGCTATAACTGAATTGTTTCATAACAAGGAGTTCAGTTCTAGTTTCTCCATTTAATATGAGATGGCAAAAGTATTTATCCCTCAATCTAATGGTACTGAGTAAACAATCTGAAGCAAGGTGTTAAAATAGTCCTTCAGAAAGCCTGGAGACTGCAGCCATCTTCTGCAGTTGTTTTCCGTTCTGTGAAACCACACCAGAAGCCCTGGCAACACAAACCCAAGGATTTAAACACATCAGCAGGTCCATGACAATGACGTGGCTCTGCTCGGTTAAATATGTAATTCACTGCAACGAAATCCATCTCCACTATTTGGCATTTGTGATTACATCTTAAAAAGGTTCACCACCAAAATATATATACCCAACAGTCACAAAATGTTAGAACTAATATCCCTTCTTCAATATTTGAGAAAATTAAGTTCTTAAATGATTTATATGGTTATTTAAACATGTGCTAACTCATCAAAAATGAGGAGGGTGGGGGTAGAAGTTTGGGAAATTAGAAACAGAATCTTAGAAATTAGGTTAGTTGGGTTACTTTATACACCTAAATAAATGTTAATGCATATAAAATTTGTAATTCAATAAAATTCTAGAATTCAGGTAGAAGTCAGTGAGCAAATGTAAGATACGGGTAAACTGTTAAGTAGTGGTGATTAGTGATGATTTTTCAACAAAGGGGAGGGATTATAATAATACAACAGTGTTCGTGACTAATGTAAATGTCACGACTAAAGTGGAAATGTTATTGAAAAAATAATGTTTCCTTCAGCCTCCAGGAAGGTTGCAGACGCTCACAGTGCTGATGCCTCGGCTAGGTCATCCCCAGGAGCACAGTCTTCTTCCGTTCAGGTGGGAGTGTCCTCATGTGGCCGTGAGAGGCCTGGATCAGGCTGCACAACCCTGCAGGGGCACCGACACTGTTCTGATCTGTCCTCCACCCAGACTGACACTGTTGAAAGCTACCTTGTTCTACGGGTACCTGGAAGCTGGCACAGGTGAGCTTTAGGTATCATTTTACAGGACATAGTCAACTATAAATTAAAGGGGCATCTCTTCCTGTTCTGAGGAAAGCATCTAACTTGCTAATGAGGCCATACTTACATCATTTGCTATTTGCTGATACCAGCAACTTGATAAGTGAAATGGAGAGAGAATCATATCCTTCCTCATAAAGGTGATTACGAGATTCAGGTGAAATAACTACATGCACAGTCCTAATACCTTGTATATAACAAGTGCTCAATAAGTGCTGGGTAATACAGTATTAAAGAGTGACTGGCTGACATTTTAAAGAACTGAATGAGCCAGATAGTTCTGAGATACTGAAAGAAGCAAGAAGATATAAATGGAGCTGCCTAAAGAAAAGAAATATATGGGAAAGGGCTGGCTTTTTAAGGCTAAAAGAGAAAGATCAAAATGGGACACAACAAAGCACAATAAAAACATCCAAACAGACAGTAGACCACGAGAATAAGAGTCTTCTGCTCACCTACACTTAGAATTGATTGGAATTTTATTGTAAGTAGTGTGCCCAGTTTTGAACTCTGACATGAAGAGTCAGAGGCAGTCTAGAGGAGAGTAATAAAATAATTAAAGGGTTGGCATACAGGGATTTTTTTTTTTTTTTTTTTGGCATACAGGGATATTAAGACAAGTTAAAAGGAGGAGGAGTTTGCCAGGTGCAGTGGCTCATGGGAGGCCAAGGTGGGTGAATCACTTGAGCTCAGGACCCCATCTCTAAAAACAAAAATAGCTGGGCATTGTGGCAGGTACCTGTAGTCCCAGCTACTTGGGAGGCTGAGGCAAGAGGATCATTTGAACCCAAGAGTTTGAGGTTGCTGTTGAGCTATGATGCCACAGAACTTTACTGAG